CAAACGTTATATTTCACAACGAACGAACGATTCACGCGCTTGACTCAATTGTCGTCTGCATCTCTGTCTGCAATTCAATTCCATTGTTGCCTTCACTTCTTGGCAGTCTTATATACAAGAATACCGCATATCTAGTAAACACTCGAGGCTTCACGAAGGGAAATGAATTTTCTAGAAGCTCATGACGTGTTACTAGAATCACGTGACTTCCGCTGTCGTAACAGTATATTTGCTTGTTTTATGTATTAATATTTAATTTGGCAAGAATAATATCTAAAGTTTTATTTCATATTGCGTAAAATAGGTTTTTTTTGGTTTTTTTTGACGAAGGATACAGTATAGTTGAAATATTAAGAAGTATTTGAAGCTGTTGTTTGCAAAACAAACACACTTAAATTTAACACCGACGTTAAATTCAGTTTAATTTCACACTGTAATTCAAAAATTTAAATATATATCCTTATGCTTCACACAAAAAAAGAAAAACAAGTTGAGTATTATTAGTGGAGATGATAACAACACATTTTTTCTACAGGGTAGAATAGGTTGTGTTACAAATCAGCAAGCCAAGTGAAAACCACAAATGAACTACCTTTTGACAATTGTTATGGTATTGTTACGTCTCTGTTCGTTTGTAATTTTCCGTATAATTTATTTCCGATGAAACTTCAGCAACACAAGTCCTTTCTTAAATAAAACTAGTTTATTCCCTCTCAATACAACTTTGTAATACACTTAATTTCCACAGTCACTTTTACTTAAACACATGCTGTAATTCACAACGATTCACGCACTTTACTACCGCAGTTGACTCAATTGTCCATCTCTGTCTGTCTGCAATTATCTATATCTCTGCTGTCACTTCTCGCCGGTCTTATATGCTATAAGAGCGCATGTCTAGCAAACGCTAGAGTCTTCGCGAATCTTCTAGACACTCATCACGTGTTACCAGCGTCACATGACTTCCGCTGTTGTAACAGTATGAACGCCTTTTACTATCTGGCGAAGCATGGTTATAATTAATTACACTTATCATACGACATTACTATTAGGCATATTATATTTTTTAAATACTACATTATTTTACAAAGATATCTAAGCTGTTAACTTTATAAAATAATTTGATGTATCAACTACAAAGGATTCTTAATGTCCTATAATGTTCACCTGAAGCCTTTTTGTTGTTGTTGCATACATATGTTTAATGTTCACTTTGTAAAATTATTCTTACATATTACTCTTCAAGTTATGTGCACAGTAGTTACTAATTCCAACTGTTTGGATGTAGCCACTTTGTGGTGATGGTATATAGGTTAAGAAGAATGACAATGGCTATGAAACTCCTTTTCGTCTGTTACCAAAACTAATTTATTTCAATACCCTAGTGATATTTGAAAATTACGACATTTAGTTATTGCACCGTGGAATGAGAATAAGTGGCTTACTTTGTTATGAATTTCACACAAAGCTACACGAGGGGTATCTGCACTAGCCATCCTTGATTTAGCTGTGAAAAACCAGAGGGAAGGGAGATAGTCATCACTACCCACCGCTAACTCTTGGGCTACTCTTTACCAACGAATAGTGGGATTGGCCGTCACAGTATAACGCCCACACGGCTGAAAGGGCGAACATGTTTGGTGGGATGGGAATTCGAGCCCTCGACCCACAGATTGCGAGTCAAGCACCCTAATCACCTGGCTATGTCCGGCTTAATTAGGACAATATTCATGTCTGTGTGTATGGTTTAATTATGTATAATTTTGATGTAAATCTGTCCGAAATCTTCTACAATTTAATCAGTGCCACGGGTATCGAAACCAGGTTTTTGGCGTTGTAAGTCCGCAGACATACTACTGTGCCACTAAGGGAGGAAGCAGAGGAAATGCATCATATTAATTGGGATAATACTGGGAAGTGTGGCCTCGTTGTCTACGTACTCAGAACCGTTGCTGTACAGTGTACACTTTTATTGGTTGTAATCTGATATGAAGGGCTTAAAAGAAACAAAATTCCGTTTCTTTCTGAACATCCCTCGTTTATAACTTTTCAGAGTCACTGTATAAACGAGGACCATATTTTAAGGTTAACAATGACATTTTGGACATTTACTGCATCTTTCACCGATATCAGTTGGACTGAGAGGTCGTTTATATATAATATAGAGCACGGACCCCAGATGTTGATGGATACTTCTGTTATAACTTGAGGTTCCCAAATTTTCCCAAGTCACGACAAAGCTGAGTACACACGTAAGCTACTCGAGGACTCTCTGTGCTAGTCATCCCTAATTTTCAAGTAAACATTACCCACCGCCAACTCTTAGGCGATTCTAACCAAATAATGAGCTTTTTTTCGTCACTTTTATAATGCATTCACTGCCATAAAATGAAGAGCGCGATTTTCTTTTGAACGGTAACAAGGCGTTAGCTACGGAACCTCGAATCCACAGTGTGACTCGCTAACCACTGGACTGCGTTCAGCCCTAATAAAGTATACTAGAAGTTTTTTGCTTTGTTTGTTCAAAAATATTTAAGGATTTTTATATTCTAAATACACTTAAGATGTAAGTGTGTGTTTTACTGTACCTTGTTCTGTGACCCATTCCGCGATACCTTAACTATTACTTTTTGGGTTTAGTTTACGAAGACGATTGTAAACAAGTTGTGTAACGTGCCTTATAAGCCGTATATATGTTATACGTGGACTAGCCTGGAGCCGAGTACAAAGGCCTTCTGAAGTCCAAGTATTTTGCGTTTACTCTCATTTGGAGTGTCCACTTAAAAATTAATGACTTAGCGTAGTTATGATGAGCGTGATTTAACTGGATGAGAGTAGTGGAATGACGATATTTTCTTATTAAAAAATTAAGACATTCATGCAGTACAATATTCATGCTAACTGGTCAGACATTCTTTGAAAAATTTTCTGTCAACATTTCTTGAAAAGTGGGACGTTATTTTTTCTGTTTTCAAATCTCAAGTAAACTCTCTTCATCAAGTCTTGTGAAGGAGGGTGTGAACAGGTTCAAGTTTAACATTACTAAGAAGTTTAAGACTTTATCAACATGTGCATAACACAAAACCTAAAGTTGTTCCTATACCTAATCACTCACGGCACGGAGAACGTTACTTCCATAACATTTTATTGTTTGTTTGTAATTAAGCACAAAGCTACACAATGGGCTATCTGTGCTCTGCCAACCACGAATATCGAAACCCGAATTCTAGCGTCTTAAGTCCGCAGACATACCGCTGTGCCACTGGGGGGCAACATTTTATTGTTTTGTGAGCATGATATTCAGTAGGGCGCGGTTTAACTCTATGGTAAAGTATTTGATTTCGAAGCTGGCGAGCCGGGTTCGAAAATCACTTTGAACCCGTGTGATACCTCAAAATATTCCCTGCAATCTAATAAAAAGTGGGTGAGTTATAAGAGTGAGAGTCAATCCATTAGCTTTAAACAAAGGGCGATGGGGTGCTTCTGATTTTTCAGTAGTCGGCAGGTAACTTTGTCATAAACGTAGAAAGAGAAATACAAATATTCAGTAAACAAATGTGGCCATTTCTAAAACGGGCTGGAGTAAAAAAAAATGTTGGTCATTTAAGAAAAAAGAATGATGATAGGTGTATTTCGTCTGCCATCTATTGAGATTAATTATTTGAAGTTAACCATCTTCATTATTAAAAATTATGAATACTTTATAGGTGGTATTTTTAAACAAGGCTATTTAACAAACTGTTGTTCATCTCTCTTGTTTGTTTGTTTGTTAAATTTCGTGCAAAGCTACTCGAAGGTTATTTACTTTATTCAACCCTAATTTTGAAGTGATAGACTAGAGGGAAGGCAACTAGTCAACATCACCCATCGCCAACTCATGTGCTACTCTTAATCAACCATTAGTGAGAATGGCAGTCACATTATAACGCCCTAACGACTGAAAGGACGAGCATATTAAGTGACAGAATTTCATTTCCTCACTTATCCTCGTTTCTCAGTTGTATTTTCTGGCACCGGGCGATTCAGAGTAATGTATGTCTACGAAGCTTATTCGATGCTTATTACTTGTTGGTAGATAATTAATACTGACAGGATTAGTCCGGAATGAACTTTGTCACAGCTCTCAATTTATAATGGTTTTTGGATTTTCTTTAATGTTACTTCTGTAATCCAACATGTAAACATTTCTTTCTATCGTTTATGATATTTCAACCTTTCTGTTACTAATTTTTAAAAAGTATTTACATAACTGATGAGTTATTACACTGGCATTTATAACTTCCTCTTTCGATCAGAAATCGTAAACATTATATACACTAAGTGTAATTTTTACCGCATTGTATGTTAAACCTTCAAATAACCAATATATATGATCTAAACATTTTAATTCAAAGCTATTCGAATCAGTTACTCTAAATAAA